AACGATGTCTCAACATAAAAGAGAAAAGATTAAGGGAACGCTAACTCATAAAAATGAGTTTGTAATAGTCGTCTAAAGAAATGACACAATCAGCTGACCTGTTTGGTGGAGGGAGGCTGTTTCACAGTTTGGCCGCCCGCCACTACCTCAAAAGCACTGGTTTTAATCTTTGGTTTTAAAATCTGAGCGAGAGACAGTTAGGAGACCTCTGTTAGAAGATTGGAGAGGTCAGCTGCAGTGATAAGGTCTTAGAAGCTATGTTATATAGGAAGTCCATGTGTTGAACTGTGTCATCCTTCTCCTCTTTATGAGATCAATTCCAAAAAAATTTGAAAAGTTTTAGTCTGATCACAGGAAAGCATTAAATTCCTCAATACTCCAACGTATTAGATGCATCTGTCTCTTTATTTCCAGAGAACCGGAACTAAATGGCAGCATCCAGTTTGTCCTAAACAAAACATACAGTAAAAGTATGAAGCTGCAGACAGTCCACCGTGGGCAGGGCTGTTCCTGTTTCATGTATCTGTCTGTTGACACATGTCGTCGTCTGTCTGCAGGTGCTGTGTGGTCAAAGCAGGGCGGTCCTGTCTCGTGCTGCTGGCTGTCGAGCTTTAGCTTCTCTCAGGGCTGGAACAACCAGAACCTTCTCTGCTGCGAGCTCAGATGAGCCTTACATAGCGGTATCACATACAGACTCAGGTGAGTCGAACAGGAAAGGACGTCAGGCAGTGTTGCAATGCAGTTTTCAGTAGTAAACTGTTTAGCACCTGTGGCAGCAAACGCTGACAAATCATCTTTGTCACATCACTCCAGGCCCAAGGACTGTGTGGCCTGATGAGAACATGGGACCATTTGGACCTCAGGACCAGCGCTTCCAGTTGCCTGGTAACGCTGGGTTTGACTGCCACCTGGAGGGCATGGAGGACCAAAAGAAGGCGCCGGTTCACAAAACGGTGCCTGATGTGCTGACGGTTCCAAGCAGCACAGAGAGACACCAGTTCATACTGGCCCAGTTTGTCAACGAGTTCCATGTAAGATTTTTAAATAGTTACATTATGAGCTGTAACACAGTCAGAGCTTTTAGGACTACAGTTCAGAGCAGCAGAGAGAACAAATTAAAGTCAATGTCTTTGATTTATTTTAAATGTAAGTGAGCTGCTGTGGCTCATTGGTTTCAGGAGAAACACAGATGTCAGTAACACTTCATTGTAAGATTCCAAGTATGAAAATTAACAATAAATAAATAAAAAATGAAAAAATAAGCCAGAGCTACATTTTTACCACTTTTGTCTGAGAGGGTGTGTGATTGTTTGTTTTTCAGGGAAAGCTGGGGCCTATTTCCACGAGAGTAAGCAAAGCTGAGCAGTACTTTAATCAGACAGAAACAGACTGTGCCATAAACTCCTGCCCAGAGCTGCTGAGGAAAGGTAAGAGAGATTCACCCAGCATTACCTTCGCTGACTGTGAGTGTGGGCAACACAAGCCAAAATGATATCTGGATATTTAAGAATTTACGATAACAATATTTCTGATGATATAGAAGAAAAAATACTGAATATTGTGGTCATAAATATTTTGTACTTGTAAATCAGACTGTGTAGTTGTGAACTGAGTTTTGTAACCTTGCAAACCAAAATATCTAAAAGATTGATGTTTGTGCATCTATAGATGAGAATTTGCGTCTGTGTATTTAAAAAAAAAAGATTATACACATACAAGGGAAAAAACTACTACCGTAAATGTCGGGCTATAAGCCGCTACTTTTTGCACAAGCTTTGAACCCTGCGGCTTTTAGTCAGGTGCGGCTTTTCTATGGATTGTCCATGATTTTTGTGATATCGTAAGACGATTTGTTTTGTTTGTTCCGCTGTTGTACGGCACTACGTTGCCTGGCGGAAGGATCGGGGTTCAAGAGTGGTATGTTGGTCACATGTCCATCCGCCAGGCAACGTAGTGCCGTACGAAGTAGCGCGAAAAACAAACTTCAAAGTAGCGCTACGCGTTCAGCGGGAGGTCGTGGATGACGAGCGGCGATAAACTTGCGAAAAGCAAGTTATGCCCAACTCCACCGGTGGAATCTGACAGCGTGGAAAAGTGTGAAAACATCCACGATCACCAACGGATTTCGAAGGGCTGGACTGCTGCATGATGGAGAGGAGGACACCGCCACGGCCCTTCTGAGGGTGTTCGACTCTGACACTGACAACGAGGATTTCTTTGGTTTTGAAAGTGACAACGAAGGAGAGAAGCGGAGAGTGGATGACGAAGCCACCTGAGCCTGTTCGTTTCCGACACTGGAGAAGAGGACTTTGGTGGTTTTAGTGCGCAGGAAGAAGAGAAAGATGGTGGAATGACTGACTTTTCTTCTTGTTAAAGCCGTGTCACTGCACCTGAGCCTAAAAGGTAGTCCGAATCTATTTTTCTGGTGTGCTGTAGGTTATTGTTATGTACTACATTTGTTACTCGTTTATGAAGCACAGTACATGTTTCGTACTTGTAATTACCGCTACTTGTACATATACCTAAAAAGTTATGCAAATATGTACCCATAACTTGTTTTTCAAAATATTAATAAAAGGGTGTGTCTCCAAACAGCCATCTCTTTCCTGACAATTCCTTTGTGCATATTCTCTTACATATGATAAGTCAACATTGAAACACCTGCGGCTTTTAGTCAGGTGCGGCTAATGTATGTACAAAACAGGATTTTCCCCTGATTTTAGCTTGTGCGGCTAATATTCAGGTGCGCTGTGTAGTCCGGGAAATACGGTAACTTAAATTTTTCAGATTTTTTTTGTTTCCAAGGTTACAAAACTCAGTTCACAACTACAACAAACAGAATGGTTTGAGGTAGAGCTGGGCGATATGAGATTTTTTCATATCACGATATGTTTTTTTCATTTCAGGCGATAACGATATCTATCACGATATAAGCCAAATAACTATATTTGTAAGATTTAAATGTGCCGTTGCTCACAAGTAAAATGTGAAATAATCAGCAGCTTGTTTTATTTAAATATTTATTTCCCATAATAAGTTCAACAGGGTAGATGTACTTAAGGAACATGAGACTTTTTCAGATAAATAAAGGCAAATATTGCAAACTACACAAAAGGCAGCCGCTAAAGCGTTTAAGTTTCAAAATAGAACAAACGAAACAGACTAAATTGTCAATTCCACTTAGAAACAAAATATTAATTCTAAAAATAAATCTTAGTTTGTTTTACAGAAGAACAGACAAAACTGACTAACTTTTGTCAATATCAAATAAACTGAGAACTAAAAGGAAATTCTCAATCTCTCCTTGTTGTATAGCTGAGCTTTTCAAACAGTTTTAACAGTTACTTTAGTCTGACAAAAGCCGAATGACGAATTAGCGCTTCCAGTCAGAGACTGAGCATGCACCGCTTTATTGTATTTCCAGACTTGCTTTCGGCACAATTTACAGTGCGCGCTACTCTGTTTTTTGTCAGACTTGAAATAGCCGAAATACCTTCACACTACAGAACTTCTATGGCTCTTCCGTTCGACAATCTCTCCGGCATTGGAACCATCATCTGTTTTCTCTTCGGTAATTTTCCTCGTTCGATTTTTCTCTAGTCGGCACACTCATTTCCTCCATTACCCGGGCGGCACGTGGCTGGCTGCTTCCCAAACAAATACACATGTGCTGTACGTAACAAGTCACGTGACGTGACGCTGCGGCTGTGATTGGTTCGGCTCTGCGCTACTTAATTTGGATTGGCTGTTCTTTTTTTTTTTTTCTTTTTTTAAGAGGACAAGAGCGATGCGAGGTCTATCGCAATAGTTAATTTTTCTATCGAGAAAATGGGTGTTAAGTAAATATATGTATGTGTGTGTAGTGTTTGTAATGTGTTAGTATGTATGTATATATATAATATATATTATTACTGGTGTATATATATATATATAGTTTATATGATATATATATAGGTTATATATATATATAATATATATATTATATTATATATATATATATATATATATATATTTCGCAATACATATCGTTATCGTTCTATCGCCCAGCTCTAGTTTGAGGCATGTCATACAGAGATGAAAAGAGTTATAATTGGCTTTATTAACATACGTGCGCCTCTGTGTCTCAGATCTGGAGCAGTTGTTTCCTTCGGCGCCCACAGTTTCCATCACAGTGGTGACGGTCACGCAGACGAGCGGTCGGTCAGAGGACAAGGAGACAGAGCTGGATAGAGACCAGCTGCTAAGTAAAGTAAGTCCTCGTGTGTTGCCCATTACAGACTTCAGAGGTTGTAGCAGTTGGTGACTGTGACTTTGTCCTAACTGCAGTTTGTGAGCGGGGCAAAGGAGATGTGTTTCGCTCTGTGGACTGCAGGATACTGGGCGGACTTCATTGACCCAACAACGGGAGCAGCAGTGAGTAATTCTGTGTTCACTGTGCCTGTTCTTTACTGTCTCAATCTGCAATCTAAACTCACAAAGCATATACTTATTCTATGAATGAAGCTTACGTTAGTTTAATTTTCTTTGATAGAAAAAATGTTATATTGCAGTAGTTGTCTGTTGGGTGGGAAAAGCCCAAACACAATATGATGTGAAACCACACATGCTTATAAACCTTTTGGTTACATTGTTTGGAAAATCTGGAAAAATGTATTTTCCCTTGTAACATTTCTAGAGATTTTTCCCGTTAAACTTCCTGTCAACTCAAATTCTGGTAGTTCAGCTGTGAAAACTGAGGACAACAAACAGAACAATATTGTTTTAATAATGGAATTTTCCCCCCTTTCCTCAACAGTTCTTTGCGTCTCCATTGGGCGAAACCACACTGCGAACAGACAGTGAGCTGGGACATCGGGGCTTTCACATCGAGGTGTCGAGCTCCTGCACAGTCATCCGCCATATCCTCAGGGGGACTCCTTTGTTTGTGGGGACTATTTTCACCAACGCACCTGTTCAAAGTGCTGCTGTTGCTAGACTTCAAGGATTTTCAGACGCACTCAATGATGAGGAATAAACTTCTTTTTCTTTTTTTTTAAAAATAGAATAGAATCAAATTCAAACAGAAGGGTTCTGTTTATGGTTTGGAGAAGCCGCTAACGTTTCCTGTTATGGAGCTGGTTTGTATCAATGGAAAGTTGTGTAATGTTGTAACACAAAGCATCTGTGCAGACCTCTGTGTTGCTAAGGATCTAACTGACACTCTAATGCGGACGTCAGTGCTGTGTCTGACTGACAGAAGCGTTACCCTGCTCTGCATGCAGGGAGACACTCAGAGAAGAAACAATTTCACCATGTGATTCATCTGTAGACAATGTTCATATTTTACAGTTTGAGTATTTATGAAGTACTGCGACAGATGTTCTACAGCTGTTGGTGCTAATTACCAGGAAAATCTCTCCGTTTCAAACACCTTAACATGTTAGCGGCTCATATTCTTTTTACAGCAGCAAGTACAGTGTTGGTTTTCTCTGATCTGTTGCACGCAGTGTAAAGAAACGATGGAGAAATATTATAAATAGTTTCAGAAGATTTCAATTTATTATGGGAACAGCTCCCAGAATGCACACTGACCGGGATGAACATGGACACACTGCTTATTAAATTATATTTATGTACTTCAGCTTTTTTGTGACTGGCTGTGTCTTGCAAACAGGTTTGAACAGCAAGTGGGCGGAGCTTCAGTGCTGTCAACCAGTGCTCTGATGACCATATTAGGGAGTCCTGAGAGCTTGAAAAAGGGAGGCAACTGGACTTCTTTAGGTTTTAAAAATCCAGATGTCTTCTCTTATTATTGTTTAAGTCTATAATGATCTACCATATTAGGGATAGTCAGCATCGTCACGCAGAGCCAGGAGTAGAAGACATATCTGAGACAGTGTTTAGATCATTGTGAAGCCTGAGCTTTTGACTCAGAGATGTTTATTATGAGCTATATACAAAGTAACATTATAAATATAACAGAAAACACAGAAATGCAGATCGACTATTAAAAAAGTGGAAAAGAAGAAAGGAAACCAAAGTTGAATCAGTTGTCTAACATATAAAAATGTCTTTAAACCTTCAGTTACTGAAACACGCAGCCAACACAGGTCCCAGTTCTGCCACTACACATAGCAGCTGTTCTCTTTCTACGTGTCTCAAACACGTCCAGCTGTGAAGATGACAACAATGATGGCGATGATGATGTAGCACAGCGCTCTAGAATGAAGACTCCCGCTCAAACTAACCAAAGGAGAAATGGAGGAGAAAATGGCACTGCTGTCATTTCTGGGCACCAACACGTTGCAGATGTTCCCCTCACAGCAGGAAGAGCACACCTGAGGGATGAGAGGAAAGCCTATCACGTTAAGGTTGAGGAGACATCTGAAGGCAGAGCTCTCCACGTACCTGGTAGCCAGTATCGGCAACGTCAGCACAGCCAGTGAACAGACACTCCTCCAAGGTGGCACAGCGCTTGGTCACAGACACACTTTCCCCACTTCTATCCATCATGTGGAGGGTGGAGCAGTATTTAGTATCTGAAGGACAGTAAAATTCCCTTCATGTGACCAATTATGTCTTAATAACTTGACAGATTCACAGGCAGCCCCAATATGAGGAGTACAAAGTTTAAAACTGCCAACAAATATTTAAATTTAGAAAGATAAGAACTACCAAACGGTACTTTTCAGTGCATGACACTTTCAGCTTTTGGTGATCACAGTTTGTTTAGAGAGTTGGATGGCAGGTAGATGATTTTCAGATTCCACAGTGGGCTCTGGCCCTACTGAGTTTGGGAAAACGTGTTTCCATCAACTCTGTCTAACTGCACATTAAGAATGTGTTCCAGTTGCCAAGCAGATGTAGATCCCCGTGAAGTCGACCGAACGTGCGAAGTAAGATTCCAAGAAGTAGGAAGCAAAGTTCCTCTGATGAAAGATAACTGTGGGAACACCTGTTCAACACTATGTTCTACACTGATGAGCAAGATTAGCCATCAGTCGTCACACCTTGCTGAAGTGCTGGCAAAAAGGGCATGCAAATGAGATTTTGGAGAAGGGGGGGGGCTAGCATCTCCCTCCACTCACCTCCAAAACCACCTGCAGCAAATGGGCTGCCCTTCTCTGAGTCTGATTGTACTGTAGGCCAATTCCGCTTAAAAGTTCTTCCTTCCTACCAAGTCCTAGCAAATTATTATAAATATTGTTTATATCAATCTATTTTATTTATTTTAATCATTTTGTTGATGTTCGTTTGTAGCGCATTCCCAAAGAAACACGTTTCTCAAGAGAAGTCACTTGAACTGACATCTCCTTGAGCAGGCAGCCACAGATGAATCAAAAGCTGACGTACCCTTTGGACAGTACACGTCCGGGGCCCAGCGGTTGCAGTCGTAGTTATCTACAGCATCTTGGCATGTGAAGCACTTGAATCCGCCAGGGTAAGGAGTAGCTGTGGAGACACAACTGTATTCAGTTTTAAGTTCAATAAGTGAAGAAGGCGTGTTTTCATTCGTCCTGTGTGTAATATCATTCCTGCAGAAAGGGACCTTCATTCATCAACCTTCTGGGGTGTTTTTTTTAATTAGCTCATTCAATCACTGTACACATTCTCTGTGTTTCTGGGTTATTTCAGAATCATAAGAGAGACGAATGTCCTAAAATTCGACCACCCCTGCCTTTTCCCTGGCTTCTGACATGGTTATGAAGTTGCCCTCAAAGCACAGATAGGACCAGAAGATGTGAAGGGCTTGTTAATCAAAGCTGGAGGGGCCCCAAAACCAGGTGCACTTTGGTACGAATCTTCCTGAAACGAGTTTCCATCTTATCCTGAGGCTTGTTTTTCCGAGGTGCCCCGACTTCCTTGCAAAGACGTGTGTTAGGTTTTTGGGGATTGGATACTGGGTTCAGGTTTGGATGTAAGATAGACAAAGCTCTTAAAGTATATAAACTATGACTCTCATACAGTGGGGCAAAAAAGTATTTAGTCAGCCACCGATTGTGCAAGTTCCCCCACCTAAAATGATGACAGAGGTCAGTAATTTGCACCAGAGGTACACTTCAACTGTGAGAGACAGAATGTGAAAAAAAATCCATGAATTCCACATGGTAGGATTTGTAAAGAATTTATTCGTAAATCAGGGTGGAAAATAAGTATTTGGTCACCTCAAACAAGGAAAATCTCTGGCTCTCACAGACCTGTAACGTCTTCTAAGGTTTCTTCCCCCATGTCTGTGTGGACCTGTTCTACACTAAAAGCACTGCCAACTCAGTCGACCACCGCCAGAGACCAAGAGCTTGAGGCACCAAAAGATTGACCCACCGACTGGAAGTGAATCTACAATAGGCAAGCAGTTGGTGAAACAACTGGGGCATCTGAAAATGGAACACCTGTCCAGGGCCAGAGACTCATCCGGGGGTAAAGTCATGCGACAAGATAACCAACGGGACGGTGAACGCAACACCATAACAGTACCATCAGACACTACAACGGCAGGGAATCAAATCCCGCAGTGCCAGACGTGTTCCGCTGCTGAAGCCAGTGCATGTCCAGGCCCGTCTGAAGTTTGCCAGAGAGCACATGGATGATACAGCAGAGGATTGGGAGAATGTCATGTGGTCAGATGAAACCAAAGTAGAACTTTTTGGTATAAACTCAACTCGTCGTGTTTGGAGGAAGAAGAATACTGAGTTGCATCCCAAGAACACCATACCTACTGTGAAGCATGGGGGTGGAAACATCATGCTATGGGGCTGTTTTTCTGCCAAGGGGACAGGACGACTGATCCGTGTTAAGGACAGAATGAATGGGGCCATGTATCGTGAGATTTTGAGCCAAAACCTCCTTCCATCAGTGAGAACTTTGAAGATGAAACGAGGCTGGGTCTTCCAACATGACAATGATCCAAAACACACCGCCCGGGCAACAAAGGAGTGGCTCCGTAAGAAGCATTTGAAAGTCCTGGAGTGGCCTAGCCAGTCTCCAGACCTCAACCCCATAGAAAATCTGTGGCGGGAGTTGAAAGTCCGTGTGCTACTGAGGTGCTGTACGGCCCAAAGCATCTCTGCGTCATTCGAAGGTCCTTTGGACTCTCACGTCATGCTTTGCCCATGGGATGCAAAGATACAGCTTGTCGTGTGAGCCCTGTGAGACCATAGAACGTATTGTTTGCCAATTAGTTAAATTTGAGTGTATTTTGTATTGACCAAATACTTATTTTCCACCCTGATTTACGAATAAATTCTTTACAAATCCTACCATGTGGATTCATGGATTTTTTTTTCACATTCTGTCTCTCACAGTTGAAGTGTACCTCTGGTGCAAATTACTGACCTCTGTCATCATTTTAGGTGGGGGAACTTGCACAATCGGTGGCTGACTAAATACTTTTTTGCCCCACTGTAAGTATTCTCACAGATGAGAATCAAATCAAAACTGCTGCTGTTTGTACATAGTAAAACTGTTTTCATATTTCTTGTACCATTTCTATTTTGATGTATTTGTTTAATTCACATGTCACAATGTTCACACTGTTCAGGTTTGATGCTTTTCTTATTAAAATAAAGTGCTGTATGACTGTGGCCTGTAGTATAGTGCACTTTAAAGGTTACGTAAATAAATGTATATACCAGTTGAACTTGCAGTTAATTTGGTTCAAATTAACTGCAAGTTCATCCCAGACCAATTTCATTTTATATTAACATTATTTGTTGCAGAAAAGGTTTTGAAAGAGCCAAGTGTGTCGCTATGAGTCTTAAGACTGTGTTTGTGTTGTTCACAATTCCACGAGGCTGAGCAATTTGTGCACCTACAATGGCATATATGACATCATGTTATTTTTGTTTCACAATACTAACATTTAATTTTTATCCCCAAAACATCAGTTTTCTGTGGCATATTACGACACTATCACTTTACCTAGAAACCACCTAGAAGCAGGCTAAAATTAGCTGCTTTTTTTTCTTTGCACACTTAAAAACACCCTGTTGTTTTATCAGTAACCTCTGATTTGCCCCAAAAAAGAGAAGTTATTGAGTAAGTAAGTCATGATTGATGTAGACAAATAACTTCCATAAGTTCTCGATGGGCAATTGAAATGTGTGAATACCAAGTGACAAAACTGCTTTTTTTGGTCATTAGTAACACAAAACCCACTGGTCTACAATGCTTTGTATACCACAGTGGGGAACATGTAAATTATGCATATATTACTAACTGTGTTAATAACTGTGACTGTCATCTGACTGTTACTTTAGAAAGGGCAGTGGCATTAGCATAGGTGCACTTTCTTGGTAAATACATTGGACACTTAATCATTTAAAATAAAACAAGCTGTTGTCCAGTTTTTTGTTTATTCTAGGCAGAAATTTCTGTCTATTGAGAAAAATCTACTAAAACTACTAAATTAAAACAAATCATGTTACTGTCTAACATGTTTCTCATTAAAGTAAGACACTTTAGCGGTTTTACTGGATATTTATGTTTTAGCACATTTCATATATTCATTTAAATATTTGTATTTTGACTTTTAACTATTAGTTCTTTAATTCATTCAGTGTGTGAATAAACATGTATAGTATATCACAGTTGTTTTGTTCCTTTCACATCCTTATACAGTCCCTACTTATGCAAATCAGAGATGGATAAGCAGAAAATGTAAAAACTTCCTGATTTGAGATGAAATTACCCAAGTGTATACATTTATATGGATCATTTTAACCGCATTTTGAAATAATAATAAGAGTTGTAAAGTGCAGAATCCGAATATACAGGTAACCTAACGAGTGAAAGGTGTTTTAAGCTAGGGAAAAATCATTGGTAATGGAAATTCAGCTCAGGTGAACCTCTCAGTTTGTTGTCTCTATTCATGTGAGTCCTGCAGCTCATTTTTACATGAAGGCTCTGGCAGGTACACAAAAACTATACAAACACGCTTCTGGTTGTGAAACTTTGGGTTAATTAAAAATATGTCATTTGGTCAATCACCTTCTGATTTTCTGCTTATTTAACAATTATACTGATTACTAAAAAAGAAGCAATAAATCTGTAGCCTGTGCCATAGATGCTCTCCAAAGATTTATGGATACTCATCAGTCTACTCCACGTCTCTGACTCAGGGATCAAACAAGGACCAGCCACTTTTCAGTCAAAGAACAATCCTGTTATTCTCAACAAAGACACAAACCAATCGCTTTGATGATCATGAACCACATCCTTGTGTAATGAGTTTCCAAGATTTTTTTCAGGAATTTTGAAAAGGGATTCATCAGTGTTATTTCCAAGAATTAATTCCAAATAAAGATGAAATACATTTGATCTTTTAGAGGTGCAAGTTAAATAGCAGAACTGTAACTTGTATCCGGAATAAGTTCACTTAGTATATGTTAGTGTTTTAAGAACACACATTTCAATCAGTGTAATCTATGTTATAACAGCCCTCATCTGTTGCTTTTGTTTGTCTGTCATACGTCAATGGTTGAGAGAATGAAAGCTGCAGAACCAGCTTACAATCAGAGAAGGATGCCAACTATACTTTTATATATTTATATTTTAACATATTGTAATAAACTGTTGTTTTGGCAGCTACAACTGATTTAAATACAAAACGAAACTTTCCATTAAGTTTTATTTGTGCATGTGTTGCATTTAAATGCACCTGTACTCACTCGTTATTCATTCAGTTAACATGACTTTTGTACCTTTGTAACATTTATTTATTTAAATAAAACAACAGTTTTGTTTTCTACACCGTGCTTGCTTTCTGCTTTTCTTGCAGCTTGTTTCCGATAGATATTATTAAAACGTTCCATTCAAGTTCAGTGCAATGTTATTCAGTCATATTCAGTATCAAACCTTTAAACAAATTGAGATGTAAAATAGTACTCCTATACTCCTACTTGAGGGGTGCAGCAGGATGATATCCTTCATGGTGAAGTCCCGTGACTGCGCAGTTTTCACCCAGTCAGTGATGGTGGTCAGCAGCAGGACCCAGGCCACTGTTGGCCAGGCCTCCATTATTGGACCAGAGTGTCTTCATGCACTTAGGCCTGTTGAACATGAGTGGATTAAAATGACAATATTAGAGAATCTTAAACGGATAAAGAATGTAAACACTCAGCCTCCCTGAGCTTTTTTTAAAGATACTACAGAGTCTTTTTAATGTATTGTTATTTTTGGTGTACAAGAAAGTATGATTAAACCACAGTTGAACTCAACGAAACATCAACAAAAGGCTTCAAGTGGCTAATAATAGAACCAATAAGTCTATAAATGTGACCACCTGTGTTCCTTCTCATGCTGTGAGCCTGCTTCATTAATCAAATGTCAAAGGAACTCTACGAGCCAGCTTTAAGCCTCAGCATCCCTTTCTGGATTTAACAGATAATGAAAGTGCTGATATTTCCATATTTTACTCAAGAAACTGAACACTGGTCATGTAAACCTATATTAATGCTCTCATTATTTTAATGCCAATCAATAAAACTCTCTAGAAACTATTCTTGAACTAATCTGAAGGTAATATGAAGTTTATAGGTCTGTAGCAATTGACCCTGCAGAAAGTTGGTATCTTCTGTGGACTATGCGCCCCAGCATCCACTGACCAGCATCACCACCTGCAGGAGCCACCATAGAGGTCAAGTGTAGTGCATATCAGCTGGAATGGGAGAGGACCTGATGAGCCGATCCCTGACTGTTGAAATTAGCTCCATTGACACAAAATGTCACCTGTCTCGTGGAGAAGGAGACTGAGCTAGTGGTTGAGGTTATTGGAATCAGTCTCGTGTAAAGGGGCTGGGCTCCCTCCAGTCTGGGGTTGCCCTTGGTGAGAGATTGCGGGCAAGGGTAGGTAGGTATACTTGTATCCCCCATTGGAGTACTTTCTATATGTTGGGGTTCTCCCCGTGGAAGAGAGTTGTCCCTGACTATTACTTCAGCTTATGCACCAAATTATACTTCAGAGGTACACACAGCCTTCCTGTAATCACTGAAAACAAAAGAGTATGGTTTGGGTAATCTGTGGGACTCCAGAGGAAGCTGACAGGTACCAGCTGGCAGATTGCAGCTTATGTAGTAGCTGAAACAAAAAGTCTGGTGTGGGAGAAGTTTGGTGAGCTCGTGGAACAAGACTTTTGGTCAGCGTTGAAACGATTCTGGCAAACCACCAGATGACACAAGAGAAAAGTGGTGCTCTATCTATCTATAGGGGTGCTGCTGACTTCAGCTGAGGGTACAGTCGGAATTCTTCAAGGATCCCCTCAATCCCAATGACAATGCTTAGAGAAAGCAGAGTCTGGGGACGATGGGGACAACTTGCCCATTATTAGAAGTGAGGTCATTGAAGCAGGTAAACAACTACTTGGTGGCAGGATCAGTGGGGAGGGTTCCTTAAACCTCTGGACGTTATGGGGCTTTCTTGGTTGACATCCCCCTGCTACATCACATACAGATCTGGGGCAGTGCCTCTGAACTGGCAGACTGGGGTGGATGTTCCCATCTTTAAAAAGGTTGACCAGAGGGTGCACTCAAATTGCAGGAGGATCACACTACTCAGACTCCAAAGGAAGATGTACGTCAACGTACAAGACAGGAGACTATGTCCTGAACCTTGGATTCAGGCGGAACAAAGCAGTTTTCTTCCTGGTCATGGACCTCTGGACTCTTTGGGTTGTGTTGGAATTTCCCAGTCAATCTACATGTGCTTTGTGGACTTAGAGACTGTATTCAGTCACATGTGTAAATGCTGTTAAATAATGTTCTGTATAGAGTTCATGATGTGGATGATTGATTTATAATGGATTACATAATTTCATGAATATATATAGTTAGTGTTAAAAATATCTTTATTTGAAATGTACATGTGTAAAGTGTAAGAGCTGGTGTCTCATGAGAATACCCTTAACGAGAGTAAGCGAGACCTTTCGTGTACTGCGAGGGAGCAGATGTCTCTCATGAAGCGTGTTAAGCTAAAGGTTTATTAAAAGAAAAGCAGCACAAGGACTTAAGGACCTCTTTTCAGGACAAACAGTCAGTGAGGTAGTTGTCATTTGAGAAATGTTTTTATTTGTGTTTGGACTTAATATGTGTACTGTGAAGTTGCTAACTGGTTTGTACTGTTCACTCGTGACCAGTTCTCATGGCGTATTGGCGTACTGGTGTACTGGTGATGGTGAAGCTGAGGAAGAGAAAAAGCCCAAGTAATAAACGCCTGTTTCAAAGAACCGACCAGTGTCTGTGTCGTGAAGAGAGCTACAACATGCAGCTTCAGGAGCATGGAGTATCTGGCTTGTTGCTACTAGCCATTCAGCCCCCGCTCAACCGCAGTGATAGTTTGGTCCACATTGCCAACAATAAGTCAGAGTCATTGTAGTAAAGCTATTTATTTTGCTATAATTAAAGCCTCATAGAGGATTTTGAGATTGTATTGATATTATATCTCAATCCTGAGCTTTCAGTTAGAGTCCAGTCAGAACACTCCCTCTTTTTAGATTCACTGAGACGTCAATCAGTGAATTACACACCAGATGACCTGGTTTTATCCCTGACTTTTATGTTTTATCCCCAGGCACTGTGCCAGACTGTGGGGCTGTAAATGCTTGTTTTCTTTGCATTATGCATGCCCCAGTAAAATGGATCCACATCTTTACTTTGGTCCAAACACCCATAATGTAAAGTGCTACAAGAACACACTTGTTTTACTTCCAACACAAAGACATGATTATAAGTCATAAGACCTGAAACTAAAATAATTTCATTAAAAGGAAGCTTAGTAACTGATTGACCACATACATTTTCAGGCTAAAATGTTAATTTTCAATGAGTCCAGGTTCTCAAATGTGAAAATGAATGCCACAGTGTCTAAGTGGTAGTTAATATTCAGGATTAAAATAATTAAAACCTCCTCTCTAGATTTGCATGTCTTTTCAGCATGTGAGAAACTAATAAACACACGAAAACACAAAAAGGTCTGTAAATCAGGCTTAATAACAGGATTAATCTAAAGCCTTCACAGCGGTCTCCTAGTCGTCAGAGAGGTCTCCTCCTATTGCATTCATCAAGCTCCTCGAAGCACAGTGCTACTGTATAGCTCTTAATCATACGCTGTATGCTGAAAGAAAAACTTGAGATTAGGTCCCAAACTTTGAGCTGTCTGAAGGATCCCTGGCTTTGCCTGCAGTAAAATCTGTTTTTAGGTCTGAGAGGAGAAGGCAGGAGTGCAGGGATTACATACAAAGGCTCCCTGTTATAACTGGGGGGATGGAGAGGTTTCAATCAGCACCAACCAACTCCTTCGGGTCCCGGTTAAAAGGCTGTAGAAGGCTAAAAGAATCTGAAGGAGAGTCCGTCAAGACAACAGGGGATGAAGTTCAGAGATAGTGTAAACTGTAGATTGTTACCTGCTTAGTTACACATCTGGATGCATCCACACATTACAAAAAAACGAATGTGATGCAGATATATGGGCTAAATTGAAAGAAATGGGTCGGAGTTTAAGATGAATCTTATGAATATATATTACTTGACATGCACTAATGAAACAAGCGACAGACCTAAACTGTCGTATGGACATCATGAAGTTCATAATTAGAATTATTTGCACTTCATTTTTGGCATAAAAGAAAGTAATGTGCAGAAACATGTGCAACTTGTTACATCTTAGAAGAGAAGATGTGGAGGCAAATATAATGAAAGACTAATTAGTGACAGAACACAACTGGAAACTACAATATGTCACATAAAAAAGTTCAAAACAAAAAAGAGCAAAACATTAATTGATCTAATAATAATGGCGGCTCCAGTGGTTCCAAACCATTTCAGTTAACTATACCTCCACAGCCACAGCTATGTCAAATAAACTCAAATATCACCTCACTGATGATAAGATCATTTCAGAGTAATTTAACCTGATTTTTTTTTTTTAATTGAACAATGTTTAATTTTGCTGTGATATTTACAATACAATTGAACTTGAATGCAGGGTTAGTTAAATTATGTACTTTTGTAGTACAACCATTTCAACATCATCATAATTTATCTGTGTGGTCACTGTATTAGCTTTTTACATGTATCATTTGGCCATTATTTTGAACAATTTTATTTAACCACCTGTCCCCTAACGCTATGTAGCTAGCTTAAATGTTAAATGTTAATCCAGTAATGTTAGCTTGATACTAGGTATTCATTATACACAGATTTTTTTATTATTATTTTCCACTACTATTTCAACTACTAAGTTTAGACATGAACTAATAGTATATAATAGTGTAACCCATATATAAATATAAATTGTTTATTTTAACCATTATCTGTGCTGATGGCTAATTATTAGCCATTATGGCAACCATTATCCAGTGCCAAACTATCATAATGAAATGTATATTAAGTTTTTATTGCAATTTTTAGCAAATAACTACAACCTTCTTTACGGTAAATAGCTTTTAGCCAAATATCTTAACTGCTATGAAATTTTAGCTAACTATTGAAACTGAACAGTCTCAGCAGGTTTGCCTGAATATTATCATTATCATTTTAGCTAATTTAACACTTTTCCCATTACATTTTAAACTTCAGCTAACTTTTTCTCTTGTTTTAGCTATTATATTTCCAAAATCATAATGTTCTAGTGTTGCACTTGACTCAGAATGTCTTCATTTCCTCTAGTTTACACCCAGGCAAACTCAGTTGTTGAGCTAATAGATCTAATTTAGTAAAATCCACTAACTCACCCTGCAGTCTGACCTGACAAAAATAGCTGGCTTATTGCTCCAAATTGGTCATGTGTTTCAAAAGAATACTTGATCAACATTTAGACCACCAGGGTTGACTTTGAAGATCAGCAGCTCAGCTCTATTGACCAGACACATATGGCAGGGGCTTAACTTCTTTCATTCCACTGATTTTCTCCCTATCTATCACGTCAGAGATAATTGACTGCATTCACAAAATTCTTGTTTCTCTTGTATAATTAGGTGGTTGAAATGTCATAAATATAAAGTCCCCTTCCCAAGCATTGCCATCTGGATTTACTGACACACTACATCACTGCGTGATTTTTGTGAGGTTTTTGCTTAGCTCATAAAGCATCTGACATTTTAACATTGTTTAACATGACCAAAAAGGTCACAGTTGGCCAGACACTCTAAATGAATGTAGTCTCCTTACTGCCTATTTGTATTAGCTGATTCATTATGATACATAAATCAAGATAATATGACAAGCAGACATTCCTTAGAAGTACATGTGACCTGTGCTATATAACATTTATAATTGGATTATTATCTCTTGTTATCTCTAAAGCTGCTCCAACTTTAAACTGTAACCTATTGTGACCAAACTACAAAACTTGGCTTTAAAACCACAAAGCAGTCGTGCTGAGAGGTCAAGTCTAAAGAACTGGACTTTGTGTGTATTTAAAATTTTTATCAACATTTGGGTAGCATAGCTTCCACACTATAAGGAGGGATTTAATTGAGTCCAGTACAATATTTTTGCAATGTAGCTGCTCATATTTATATGTAAAATAGGGGTGTGAGACATGTAGGTCAGGACCAGAACTGACCCAAAAACTCCAGGTTTTGTTCATCGGCACATCTACTTTGAAGGACATGCAATGAAACATGTAGTATAAACTGTACTTTTTGAAAAGAAAGGCAGATTAAATATAGCTTTACTGGTTGGGCGACACTTCAGAATAAACTGGGTTATATGCGGCCCATGAACTCAAATGTAATGTTCTTATAGCTGTCAAAATTATTCAATCATTAAGCAGAATATAATGTAGATAATGTAGATAATACTTTACGGACTGTAGCACTTCACACAAAGTCTACCACATTAAAAGCACCATGGAAACTTGTGTAATCACAGTAAATTTACAACTTTTAACAAGGTACAAAGATTTACTGGGTTCCCACATAGTTCAGTTTAAGATCATATGCTGTCTCCACAACTATATTTGCTCTTCACTGAAATGGTGAATATGAACTAAATCTCACGATCAAAAACATGACAGCATTTCATGAAATATCATATCATCAATTCATCTAAACGTAACGCTTCTCAATTGCACTGGTGCGCACGGAATTGATTTAAAATTACATGTGTTAGTACAGCTTGACTCTACGACTTTATCGCAACACTATTTTAATAAGAACTTACCAGCTTTAAATGCTCGATAGGACGCTCTCCATTCGGCGCGGATGAAGCTCAGAAACTAGTGAAGTGCAGCTCGGCGCGGCTGAGGAGGGGAGGTGGAGGCTGCAACGTCACAGACATCGGCACTCCCACAAATAGAAATGCATCATACAAAAAACAATGTTTTTTAATTCACCTTTTTTTCATGGCGGGGATTTATATATTATATATAGCAATGCACTGATATACAAAAATTTCCCTTTATGATTTTTTTTAAATATGCATTTTGTTAGTTATCAAAATGTATTACTTTCATAAACGAATTAATAAGTATATGTACGCTATTTTTCCTTTTTTTTCCCTTTTTTTTTCTTAATTTGATAAAATACTTTTTACAATGTTGCTGAAGTTTAAGTGAATGTGTTATTTTTGCCAGTTTTAGCCGCTACATCAGGTGTTTGTGAGTGGGAGGGGCAGCGTCCAGCCTCCTCAGTGGAATTGCCCTCCTGGCCAAGAGGGAACAGAATGCCAGTAGAGGTGCCTCATTCCCACTGATGCCAAAGAGAGAAAGCAGGGGTCCAGGTGGCAGCATCACACTGAGAATCCTGGACAAGGTATGGAAAACCTTTGTCCAGAACTGGTCAAGTTGGGACAAAACCAGTATATATGGATCAGTGAGGCTTCAGCAGTTTTGCATCTATCACAATATGGAGTGATTTCAGAATAGATCTGAGATAATCTGGATTTTGAGAAGTGGGCTCTATGCACCACTTTTAACTGGATTAAACAGTGGCAGGCACATAATGATGTTGTGTTGACATGTTTGAGTATAGGAGGCCCATGTTTCGTCAGAGATTGTCAGGGGTTTAGCTGGGCTATCGCCCACCCCCCCCCCCCCCAATAAAATTATGAATTATCTTGCATAAATAGGCTGTTGATTTTCTTTACTCATTTCAGTTATTACCAGCAAAATAGTTGCATGTTTAATCATCTGGGAATTTACCCAGATTTATTTATTTATTTAGACAGAGATCTTGACCCCCCCAATGTTCAGCACAAAGTTACACCGATGCATGTTAGCTTATGGAAGCCCATGTTTTGTCATGTCTAAGTCTTCTGCCCATAATGTTCTGAGTTTGGATGAAGGGGTTTGTGTCAAGTTTAATATTTTATCGTAAAGCAGGGAGATCGGCCCTCTATTGGTCGGATTGAGTTGTAGGATAGTTTCTAATAGTGTAGCTCTGGTAGAGGGCTTGAGCCTCAAATCTGGGAATGAATAAAGTGCCTGACTTGCAAGTAACTGAAAAAGTGTGTTGGTGGTAGATTGTATTTATTAGCAAGTTGTTCAAATGATGCTAGTTTGTTGGCTATGAACAGGTCTTTAAAGCAAGTTATTCCACTTCTGTGCCACTCCACAAACCCACTGTCCTGTGTAGAAGGCTTAAAGAAATGGTTAGATGCAGTGGGGCTGAGAGGGGAGAAGTCACAGAGATGAAAGTATTTCTTATACTGGCCCCATATTTTCAGTAAGTGTTCAGAAGGTTCAGTTTATACCCAAAAGCTGACCAAATTGACCAAGCAGATTTAATGTAGATGGTAATGAAGTTGAAGGCTTAGAAATAAAAAGCAGGAGATCATCTGCATAAAGCAAGACCTTGTGTTCGATGGTATTTCTCCAAATGCCGTGTACTTCTTTGCAACTGTGAAACGCAATGACAAGGGGTTCTACGGCCAGATTAAAATCCAGGGGGCTGGGAGGACATCCCTGGCGTGTGCCCCTGTGAAGTTTGAATGGTTTTGACAATTGGACGTTAGTCTGTTTTGTAGCAGATAGCTGAGAGTAGAGCAGTTTAATCCATCCATAATTTTGCTCCAAAACCAAATCTGTGAACGACTGCAAAGAGATTGTCGAAGTCAACTCGATCAAAGGCTTCTTCAGTGTCCAGAGAGACAACATATTCATCAGCATCTGTAGAGCTGAAATAAACTATGCTAAATAGCCTTCTTACATTAAAACGGTGACCTTTAATGAAGCCTGTTTGGGCTTTTGAAATAATTGTTGGGAGAACCAATTGTAGTCTACGGGCAAGAATCTTGGCTAACATTGTAGCATCTGTGTTCAAGAGAAATTTGTCTAAAAGAGTCACATTCCATCAGATCTTTTCCTTTCTTTGCAATAAGTGTGGTACAGGCTTCATAAAATGACTGAGGAAGAGATCCTTGTTTAATGCAGTCAGTGAGGGTTATATTAAGCTGCGCAGACAGTAATGTAGTGCTCTGATTAAAAATTCTGATGGGAAATCATCCGGACCTGGACACTTGCCAGATTGCATTGAGGCTGTAGCTAAGGAAACTTCTGACTGAGAGGTAGAGTCATCCAGCCTTGTTTTAAGTTCTGGTGGAATTTCAGGAATGTTAAGTTTAGGTAGAAAGTCATTAATTGCATTGCAGCCAGTTTGTGACTCTGAGGTGTTAAAGTTCTGAGTAAAAATCCCTGAATACTTCATTAATGTTTCATGATCTGTAACCATGTTGCCATCTTGTGGTCGAGCTTCAAGAATACTTTGCCTTGCCCTAGAACTGTTGAGAAGGCTTGCCAGTAATTGGTGGGGTCTGTCACCATGCATATAGAATTTTGATTTGTCAAGCAAGAGCAAACGTTCAGTTGATTAAGTTGTGAGTGGGTCAAGTCTTGTTTTGAGTTCAACATGCTTTTTAAACATTTCGTGACTCTGTTTGAGAGCATACTGGTCATCAGCCGCCTTAATTTGTTGCATTGACTTATTTCGCTCATAAATGGACTGTTTTTCAATTTTTGCTGAATAAGCAATAATCTGGCCTCTGATATAGGCCTTAAAGACATGTGATACAACAAGGCTGCAAGTATTAAGGGAGGAGCTAGTGGCAAAATAAAAGCATATCTCATCTTGGCGAAACTTTATAAAACTGTCATCTGACGGAAGGGTTGAATTGAAATCCTATTGTGCAGTTTTTATAGGAAGATGTGGAAGAGGCAGAGACAGAGTAAGTGGGGCATGATCTGAAATAACTATGCTATGGTAAGCACAGGAGTGGACCTGCTGCAGACAGTTAGTGTCAGTGATAAAGTAATTAATTCTTGAATATGGTGCACATGTGGGAAGTAGTAGTCTCTCTTGTGAAGATTTAAGAAATGCCAGACATGACACATTCTATATTCAGTTGATTTATAGAACAAAGACAAAGTGCACATTCACCTTAAATGATAAGAACAGAATAACTCTACAGTAGGTGGAAATTAGTCCAGAACAGGTTAAAAAAAGAGGTTCATAGCAGTGACCCTCACCCTCGACAAACCCTCCCCCAGACAGAAAATAGCTGCCTCATCCGTAGAGCTCCGACATAATGTTCTTGTACTGCGCCTGCTGATTAAGGACCTCGGGATTGCAGTCCTCCACAATACCTCTTAAATGTGGACAAGCATCGTTAGTCAAAGTATAATTGTTCTGAAAGATCAATTGTGATAATATAGTCCTGAGTATAGGGGTAAATACATACAGTGTGAGGGGCGACAGAAGGATCTGGGCCTGTGGAGGTTTTTGGGCTGACATGTTAAACATCGCAATTTACAAAACACCAAACAAAGCAATAATTTTGGATGAATGGTGTTCTGGTAAGTGCTGGTCCAATGCCTTGCATTTCCTTTATTGTTTCATGAGTCTGTACTACCAAAGCATGCATGAATGTGTTTCTTTCAGATTACGTTTCAGAGTCAAAGATGGAAATTTCAGGGCTTGCATTTTTCTTGAGGAAATTACTGAGATACAAGCCGCACTAACTGCTTGTTCATTCGCATTCCTTGACTCAAATACATGGTATGCTGCGACAGATAGATAAGCTCATCACTGACAGGCAGCAGCCGTCTGACCTGACTGGTTATGTGATCCGTTGTAGAAAGAGCACAGAGTGAGATAGCAGCCCTTCAGATCCTTGGCACATAGAGGAATTTATGTAGTAGGCACACAGATATGCTATAATATGCTATAAAGTCTGGACAGATGGCTACTGCTGAAAGAGCACCTCACAAATATGCACACTATTCAAATGACAAAAAGTAAGAGCAGGAGAGACACGCAGAAAATTCCTAAAACTGTGGTTCCTATTGCACCAACTGTGATGAATCTGAATCAGTGAGTATAAAGCATATGTTGGATACGGCTCATATTTCATGAGCCGTATGAGCATTTTAAAAGCAACTGTGCAGACCGGAGGTCAAAACAACATAAGCTTGTCACACCGTAAGGTATTCAATTCAATTCAATTTTATTTATATAGCGCCAAATCACAACATAAGTCGCCTCAAGGCGCTTCATAGATACAGAGAAAAACCCAACAATCATATGACCCCCTATGAGCAAGCACTTTGGCGACAGTGGGAAGGAAAAACTCCCTTTTAACAGGAAGAAACCTCTGGCAGAACCAGGCTCAGGGAGGGGCGGCCATCTGCTGCGACCGGTTGGGGTGAGAGAAGGAAGACAGGATAAAGACATGCTGTGGAAGAGAGACAGAGGTTAATAACAGATATGAATCAATGCAGAGAGGTCTATTAATACATAGTGAGTGAGAAAGGTGACTGGAAAGGAAAAACTCAATGCATCATGGGAATCCCCCGGCAGCCTACATCTATTGCAGCATAACTAAGGGAGGATTCAGGGTCACCTGGTCCAGCCCTAACTATATGCTTTAGCAAAAAGGAAAGTTTTAAGCCTAATCTTAAAAGTAGAGATAGTGTCTGTCTCCCGAATCCAAACTGGAAGCTGGTTCCACAGAAGAGGGGCCTGAAAACTGAAGGCTCTCCCTCCGATTCTACTTTTAAATACTCTAGGAACAACAAGTAGGCCTGCAGGATTCCCAGCTACCAAGACTGGCAATTGAAATGCAACATTTACTTTAGAAATGAGTGGAACTTCACTTCTGTAGCAAAGACCAAACCTTCTTAAATTCAGTATTATTAACAAAATTGGACTAGATGTTTAACAGGAAAAATATTTTCCTGAAACAAACCATTGATTTATCTGATACAAGACAGCAAGGGACAGTAAGACAGAGTCCAGGACAGGAAG